TTCATGTATTAAGCTAGAAGGGGAAGAGTAAATCTTTAACAATTACAGCAAAATATTCTTCGATTGCCTTCTTAGGTTCCTTTACTAATGCTTTCCAAATACTACTCATTGCCTCATTTACTTTTGGATTAGGATCGTATTGAAATCGATATAAACGAGGTATCAAATCCTTCAAATAGGGTTCTAATTCCTTCTCTGCTTGTGCAATTATAAACGAAAATCCAAATGCAGCACCCTTCCGTGATTGCCACATAGCATTATGACTAGCTAGTTGCATGAATTTATATACTAATTCTGGTTGATTCATGTCTGACGCAAGGGATAGGATAGATTGATAGGTAGAGATAGCAGATCCATCAGGAGTCTGACCGAGAGTACTGGAATCAAACAGTTGGGTATCAGCATTAATAGTTTCTTTCTGACGCTTTCCTTCACTAAGCATGTCAACAAGAGAATTGACAAGTTGTTCTCTCGTATTTTGATCACCCAGTTCATATACAAGTCCTATGCCCTTGGAGGCAACTTCTTGAGTAAATTCTATATAAGAAAAAAAACCAATGGTTACGTTTTTTGACTTGTAAATATCTGTCTTGAACAAATTAATTACCATCACGGTCAGCCAAAAGCATAGAAAATGCAGAATGAATTTTTGGCAAAGCAGTCTAAAAATTAATATCAATAACGAATTTATTATTTATTAGCATTATCATGTCAATTATTTATAGAAATCTTTAATAACAATAAAAACCACACCTTTATAACTTCATGTTTGGAACAAAATTTAACCAGACATAGCATCCACACGCATACAGCTTTTTTAACAGAGCCTTTACCAGATGGTAATAATTCAGAAAACATCTTATTTAAAGTTCCATTGATAACTGAATGTTCTATGAAAATCGATGGAGGAGAAGCATCTGCGATATCTAAATATTGATTTAATGCTAGATTTTCCCACCCTGTAGTAACACATGTGATCGCTTCTCCTACAGTGAAATGTACATCGACTTGCTTGTTAAGAGTAGATGCCAAATCATAGAATAATGATAGCACTTTCTCAGTGTATTCCGAGTTTCCCAAAGCAATATGACCGATTGCGGTAATAGCTGTTTCTTGAGTCTAATTATAAAGGCCAATTATAAATAATTCAAACCAATAATTCTTCAAAAATCATTAACAGGTAACAAACCTTGATATCCTTAGTGGTTTTCACGAGAGTAATTAATTTCTCTACTATCTTAGTTAGCTTATCGTTGTATGAAGATGGATCATCACTGTTTCCTTTACCCTTATCATAATTCTCAAATAAAAATGATGTGTAGCGACAAATTTCACCCAATGATTTAGATGCGTTGATCACACTAGAACTCTTTGTCGAATCTAAATTTTCAGAAATAATTTCTATTATTTCTAATAAAAGACTTGCCGGTACGATAGATTGATATGTGGATGGATATCGATAAGTTAAACGGCCGATTATGTACCCCAATGCTAGAATACTTCCATCATGGTATTCAGCTTTGACCTTTGTCATAAACGAATTAGCTAAATTTATTGTTTTAATAGTACATACAAATAGTTAAAATCTTACCTGTTTCGACTGATCCTTGCTGATGGTAATAAGCTCTTTAATCAATTCTTGAAAAGATAAACTTCTTGCTGGATCACTTTCCAATTCACTTGTGCATATTATTCCTAATAAATGGGCAATAGAATTACGTACTCCTAATTTGATTACGCTCAGGAATGACTACAATTTAACAATAGAAATATTATTTACATCAATAACCAAACGAAACTTTTTATAAAACAATATAAATAAAATAATAAATAATAATAAAAGTGGATTATAACCTTAAACCAATCTATTTTACTCTCATAAGACCGAGACAAAGATGATGGTCCCAATGATATAAGTTCTAAAAGACATGAAGATGCCATAAATTGCAGTGATGTATCTAAATAAAGCCAATAAAGTCCAATTAAATTCTTATAAATATTATAATGTATGTAAACAAAGGCGTAAAATAAGTTTGCATGCCTATTATGCCTTCATTCGTCAAGCCTTTTTCGATTAAACGAAGGTAAATGTGTAATGCATTTTGT